TAGCGAAGTAAAGCATTGCGGTTTTATATAATTTCTGAGTAAGCTATCCGTACGAACTGAAATAATCCTTGCATTTAAACTTGTACTTCAAATTAAGATTTAACTTGAATGTAGATAATGACTGAGAGAATTAGATTTTTGCAGCGTAGTTTATGTGAGATGAGATCACTTGGGGTTACGTGATACGAACCGGCGAATCAGGATGTTGAACCATGAAAGAAAGCATAGTAAATTCTTAAATTAATGTCTTTTTATAAATTTATTGTCTTTATTTATTAGCGTTTTACAAAATTTTAAACGATATTAAAATGTTTATGCCTTCAAAATAAAAAATTCTTAGAGCTAAATTTTTCATGTGCATACTGTTTGCTGTCGCCAACAGAGTTTGCTTGGCGAGATTTGCGCCGGCGAAGCGGAAAAGTACCGTAGTTTTAAGTTTTGTTTCAAATATAAAGAAATTAATGAAAGAAAAATCAAGTCTTAAAGAGAGGGATAAGCGTTTTTTGCATAAAAAATTAAATCTTGGTGCAAAATTTGACATTGCTGAACATAAGGAACCATTTTCAACGTTATTTGGATTTAATAAGAATTAAAGTTGAAAAAGTGGTTTCACTTCAGTATATGGTGATGAATGGCAGAACAACAATTAATGTCGTTTCATAAATTGTTTGAAATTCAGTTTTAGCTTCGATCCAGAATCCTGTCAACGTTTTTCGTTAAAACTCAAGTGTTGATTCACTCAATTACTCTACAAATTCATGTTGGGCTATTATGGTATGCGATTAATCTCATTAATGCCAATCAAAATTTTGTTTTGACACCTAGATAATTTTTTGAAATTAAAAATCGATATAATGTATTTGTAAGACTGTTTTTAGAGTTTTTCAGAGATCTATATTTGAGTGATCTATAAAAAAGGTTTGCAGTTCGTTTCTAAATTATTTTTTCTCTATTTTAAAACTGTAGATAATGAAAATCATTTTCCACTTTGTCTCATCCTATTCGATGCTGATCTTTTTAAATAAAAATATTCAGTTTTAGCATTCGAAGCAAGTAATGTATTGCTAATTTTTCCTTGAAGAGACAAGTTGAGATTGTTTAGATTCTTAAATATCTGAAAACCAGCACAGCTTTGATAGCCAGCCATAAGTCGTTTTCAAAAAGCGGAGAGATCAAATTTTTGTTCGGTCACAAAAATAGCAATTCCGTCTTTTAATAACAATTTTAAACTTCCTCCTCTTGACATTTATATGTAATAAGACTTATAATTAATAAGATGCTATATTGGATTTTCAGGCTTTTAAAAAAGTAAAGAATAAGGTTAAAATAAGGCTTTTATTAAAAGCTTAATAATTTTGAGAACATCCTGAAGCACATTGTTCAGTTATGTTGGTAATTATTTCCTTGTACGAACTAAAAGAAGTATTGTATTCACGAAAATTCTCGGGAATCTTATTTCAAAGAAAATATCCATTTTGACCGCCATCGAATGCGAATTAACATTATTTCTACGTGACATCTGTACGCAAAGACGGAATAAAGGACTCTTTTTCCCCAAACGAATTATAAAACTGATTTCAAATTGATTCAGAAGAAATTTTTTCGTTGCGTCTGTACGTACGTGGGTATGTATGTATCTCGCATAACTCAAAAACGAGTACACTCAGAACCTTGGAAGTTTTGAATAAAGGACTGCTATAACATGTAGTTGTTCACCTCCCTTTTTGGTTGCAATCAGTAGCATCAAAAGTGTATATATATAACCCATTCTGTTACTTGGCTCTGAATTTATTTTTATTCCTATATGTTGGTAAATTGTGCATTTTTTTGCTTTAAAAAGATTGAATTATATTGTTATTATCTTCCGGTTAAGGATTTTATGCCTTTAATTAATCTGCATGCAATAATTGTAGAATTATCTATTTAAAAGTTTAAGTGAGGTTAAGCAGAATAATTTTCTTTTCTTTATTGTAGCATCTAAATTGCTTGCATTTTGAAACATAGAAGAGTGAATTATGTCAGTTTCTGCATCTTCAGTGGCGTTTTGCCGAATGGGACGAAAAGTAATCTTTCATTTTTGTGCACCGAAAAATTTGCTATCTTTCACACTATCCGAATTACCCTTTTTTTTGCGTAGAAATTAATTTTAATTGTAAGAAAAGTTTGAACTATATTTGGTATTTTATATTTTTCAGTTTTTAGTAAAGACATTTTGAGGTTTTATGTATTTTTGCCTTGGCGTGAAGTGAGAACTGAATTAATTGAATGAGAAATCCATCTCTAATGAAATTCGAGGAAATAATTTTAAATGAAATGTAGCAAAAAATGCGTATAATTTAGTATTCTGTATAAGGAAGTCATGTGGTGTACACGTCAAATCTTTGTTTTTATATAAGGAAATCTGGAGAGATTAGACAGCTTGTAAAAGTTACATGATTCTTTGCCGGCAGCTCAAAAGAAGCTAAAGAAGCTATTTTCATCTCCCTCCTTTTGCACCATCTGCGTAGTTTTCCCATTCTAAACCTTCAGTTTTGAAAAATTCGTCATTTTTACCGTTACATGTGTTTCTTTCTTATGTCTTCTAAAGAACGACAAAATAACAATTCTTCGTCTATGATTGATTCACAAATGTGTATCTGCTACACTGACAAAAATGAGTCATTTTGAAATAGCAACTATTTTCTCCAACTGAATTGTAAATTTTGGGCTTTCTTTAGGTAAAATAATTTTGCTCGAATTAACCGTTGCTTATTTTAGGAATTCGGTTAGCGACAGTATCGTTTGACAAAGGAATTTTCCTGATATTATTGCTGTATTTTACGTACGTGAAGTATTTATACCATTTTAATAGCAGCAGGTAATTGCTTTATTGGAGCTAGAATTCCTTCTGGTACGTGGAGAGTACCATTGACTGCCCAGTGGTGCTTCAGAGGTACGTGGAATGACGTATGGTGCCTAGAGAGCCATTATCTGCCAATAATTTTTGCAGTCTGATATGAAACTTCGTAAGACGCCAATAAATATTTTTCGTTAAGTCTTAAATTTCTCAAAATATTGGTTTCCTCTATTTGAAGATTTTTAGCATTCGTTCGAAAACTCTTTTGGTCTGTTGACATACGAGGGATGCTTGGATACAAGATACCTGTTTAATTTTCTTGGTTTCATAGTCTCTATAGCCAAAACATTATTGAAAATTAAACAAAGAGGTTATTCATTGCCACCAGAGTTGTAGAAAATAAAGCTAGAATAGAGAAATTTCCCATCATATTTTTCATTTCGTACTTTTATATACTTTTTTAATTAATCGATTCAGCTTCAAGAGGCTTTGTAACATTGTCATTACTCAAGTTTAGCCATTTATTTAAGCATCCGTAAAAATATTTCAAATCTAAAATGTAAATAAAATAACATGTCATAACTTTGCCTATAACTGCAAATTTTAGCGGAATGGAAAATAATGCATTGTTCCAGCGATATAAAACACCCGAAAGTATACGCTTTAAGTGAAATTTGTTGCCATACATTTAACAAATGCTGAAAATTATTTCAGGAAATATAACTGAATTTAGTTGTTAGCCAAAAGTATTAACTAGTAAATTAGTACCAGAAGCCAAGTGTATGACCGCTGAACACTAGTAATTTGACGGACTAGCTGCATAGGGTTTCCTCATACATAATTAGGAGTGAGTTTTCCTTGGAAAGTTCTCTAAGAAAGAATGTTTCGAGTTTTCAGACGGTCTTCACGTGTTTTGCATTAATCAGTTAATCAAATACTTTAGTGCAGGGGTCCTCAACCTTTTTGTCCCTAAGAGCACATTCTGGAATCTGTTGGACGGCCGGCACCATTTACTTTTTCAAAGTGAATTTATAGTTGGATACATGCACATAGAGATCAGTCGCATTTCGCTTTATGCTGGTATCTCTCTCGGGCGCAATTTTATTTCATTAAAAATGAGAACTTTCATGTAGAATTTTATTCAAAATTAAAATATTTTTATTGTGATCGCAATGCGGCGGGCACACGTTAAACGATCGGCTGGTGCCTTGGTGGCCGTGAGCATAGGGTTTGGAACCCCTGAGTTTTGAAAATTTTATCCAAAATAAACACCATTTGCTTAATCAAGTGTACTAAAAAAGACTAGGAAACGTGAATAAATTGTGGATTACTTTAACCAGAAAAATTAGTTGTCTTTGCGTAAGACTAAAACTTGTGAGCCCTGTAGAGATCGTCTGCTTTTTAGTACTCTTTTGGTATTTCTCTGTACAACGTTCTGTTTTTCAAAATTGTTCGGTATTTATTTACGGCAAACACTCGAAGGTTGTCTGTTCTGAGATAGGGGGATGCACGGAGGACTTTCCGAGAGAAACGTATTTACTTTGTTCATTGGATTAGATTATTTGAATATGGCAAATTCCACGGTCTGTCTCCTTAAGGGAGAGATGTCTTTATGGAGGATTTCCAGAGGGAAACTACCTCGTACTTACGATACGTGTGGGAAAAACCAGCCATACAACCGCCCGTTCCCGTAGGTTCGGACCCAGGACGAGCTACCAGTATTCAGCGGTCGTGACCATTCGGTCACTAGTGGGGCCTTTATTCATTGGGAGAATAATCTAAAAATACATAGTCAGCCATTCCATTAAATTACCAAAATAACTAATAGCGTTTAATGTTCTTATTACTTCGTCACTCATGAGCTTTTCTGACACCTTAAGTAAAACACTTCATGAAAAATTGGCGAAATGTAGTTCAGATTTTCAAACAGAATGCGGTCTTGAAGAACAACAAAGCATTAGAAATAAGATAACACTTTTACATACGTTTTGAACGTTTTTGTTCTCATTTACTATTGTACCGCCAAGTTAGCAAAAGAATTAAAGGGAATATTATTTAGGATTGAAGCCTTTTTTTTATTGCTCTTGGTGTTTAATGAATACTTTATTATGTTAATTTATATGAGGTAATAATTAATTGAATAAATGTTTATTTAATTTTCCAGCTTTTTACTCAGCAACTAAAGCTCAGTGCGGTGTAGATGCTGTGCAGTGTTGCTTAACGGAATTTTTGGGTTTTGTGAGCCCCTCTGGGATTAAATTGGATGTAGAGAAAGCGTTATCAGCTTGCACGTAAGTATCAGTTCTGCAATATTCTTCCCAGAGTTTTCACCTTAAATCTTTTAGGAATAGATGAATTTTTAATTTTTTTAAAAATTTGTTGATCATAAGAAGTAATGAAGTAATGAATTCATCAGTGTTTGACACGATTATGTGACATTAAATAGTGCGGCATGCTCCTTTAAATTTGTATAATGTGCATCTTCAAGTCAAGTGGAACATCTTATCAGTTTTTATCTGGGTTACATCTTTTAGATTTTAATTTAGAAACATAACATTTCTAAATTTAAGACTTTTCCAGTATCTGACTTTAAAAATCTAAGATTCGAAAATCCAGTCTTAAGCAAAATATAACTTGATTATATGGCAGACGTCGAGCAGAAATTTAACATATGCTGTGCCTCTGCAAATTCTCACACCGTTATAAAATTAAATCTATAGTACATGTATGTAATGCAAATGTGAGGGTTTCTGTTATTTCTTCTTTTGCTGTAATAAATCTGTGTTTCAAGGAAGTTGGCAAACTTACATGTGTGACATGTTCATTTTCTGTTGCTTTTTTACGAAATTATCAATACGATTAGCAACAAGATTTCAAATTTGCGAAATGAGAGAAAATCTAACGTCCTTAGAGCGCATCCGAGTTAACTGCATTAATTTAATGATAGCATGTCAGGAAAAATCGTAACATTTTATTATATTGCAGAAACATTAAGGCGTGTTGTATAGAGCTAACAACTTTTATATTGATTAAATCTTTGTGGGAAGAATAAACTTATAATCAATACAATTTTCAAATCTATATTAAAGCCGCAAGAGGAAAGTTGTTTTAATCTAATAACAATTTTAAAACTTTGAAATGAAATAAAATGATTTTATACAAAGGAGCGTAATTTAATTTTTTGGAGATGAAAGAAAAGCCCAATCTCTTCGCATTATTGGGTATATTTGTGTTAACGGGCAGCCATATATCGCTAAGCATAAGCTTTTGCGTTAACTCTAAACTAGACAGCAGCAATCCTAACATTTATAGATTTGAAATTGATTATTTTATTAAATATAGAAAATATTTTTTAAATAAAGACGCATATTTCATATTTCCCAAGAGACATAAAAGTGCTGATTTAATTTAACATTACCAAAATGTCTTTTATGCAGTCGCCACTATGCGAATTCGATAAGACAGGAATTTTGACGGCGGAGGGCAGTGCCAACACTTGTATTTATTTTGCGTGCGTATCAATATCATTAACGTTTTACAGAGGGCGTTTAGACATTTTTAGAACAATTTCAATAAAGAATTAAAAAGCAAATATTTTGAAATAAAAATTTGTGGCAACAGCTTATTTGAAATAAAAATATAGTTTTAGTTTTTCTTTCAAGATGTGGCATGTAAACAAGTATGGGTTGAACAATGAGATTTTTCGCTTTCCGAAGAGAGATATTCTTATTCATAATCGTTGTGAAATTCATGGTGTTAAAACTTGAGTGGAAAATAAGCAACATTATAAATCGGAAGGGGAAAAAATTGGTCATTACTTCTTTATGGAGAGAGGACTCCAAACAAATATCCGAAAAAGGTATGTTTCTAAAGTTTAACCGTTGGTAACAAGATAATCCGCCGGTGCAGAAAGTCTTAAATGCATCTGTAGCAGCTTTGCTGTCTGCATAAGTGAAATAAACCAACTTGAAAAAGTATTATGTTCACCAGCTTTTGCAGGCAGCAGATAAATGGAAGTACACTATGATCGTTGATGAAGCAGGGATTTACTTAAATGACTGCAATAAAAAAAGGCCTATTATCGAAAATGAAAGCTTAAAAAAATTACAAAGCGTGTTCTGTCAATGCAAAGAAAGTTTTGATAAGCGATTTGTTTATCGCAGGATTCTGTTACATTGGGGAATTAAAAATAAGAAGAGTAGAAAAGAATGTTAAAATCAACTGAATATATTATCAAGCGAAAGTTTTAGGTCTGATATTATTTACAAAAAAATTCAATTTCTTTATTCCAGTGACTTTCAAAGACTGAAATGTCATCAAGATGAAACAACAAGTCATACTTCTAAAAGTACCGCAGTATTACTTGAAAATTGAATACTGATGTAGAAATTGATTATGTATTTTTTCAACGTATTCCTGTGAAGATTCGTGACATTTCATCAATGGGCTATTGTGTCCTTGGTCTTCTAAAAGAGCTCTTTCTAAGCGCAAACCCACCACGGGTAATGGACTCTGGAACATAGTGGAAGAGGAATGGAAATCAATACCCACAGAAATTTAATGAAAAGCCCTTCTATCATTCAAATCACAATGCAAACTTACTGTCCTGAAAAAAAGCTATAGGATCAAATATTAAAAAAAATATTTACATTTTAGGCATTTATTGGCCCCGAAATCGTTCAAAAAATGTATAAAAGCATCTATATTTGTTGTTAACTTGCATGTATTCATACTAGATAGCCGCCAATTCATCCTATGAAGCAGGTGACAGGTGAATGCAGGGCCCGGACACCCGGACGGCTTAATATGACAAATCGGGTGTCGTCCGGTACCCGCACCTATTTAGAACAACACAACCCTGGCGACTTCCTGAAAGGGCTGCATCGGAAATATATTAATGGAGAATATGTGGTATTGACGTGGCCAAACAAGGGCGTGTGCATATATATGCTTCAGTATACAATTAATTAAGTTTCATACATAGGTACATTGGTGGTATAGGTACATTGGATACATATGTATATTGGTCTAAGGGGTTAATGAGATAGGCAAACAATAAACACTTATACATTAAAAGAAATGAAACACTGACGCAACTGGCGCAATAATGCAGAAGATGACAATTAATGAATACACGTAATCGTGTGACAATTAATGAATACGTAATCGTGTGTCATCCTATATGACTATACATAAACTACTAGAAATGATATGCATAAACACATACAAATGATGGCGATAAATGAAAACACATAATCATACATTATTCTACTGGACTATACACACATCAATAAAAATGATACATACACACCTATACGTTGACAGAAATGATACACTGAGAATGAAAATTGTGTATCAGTGTGAACGATGACAATTAAAGGTTACACATATTCGTGTATTACCTTATTTGGCTATACATATATATTAGTACAAATGATACACTTAAAGACTTATACTTTAATGGAAATGAAATACTGAAAATGGCACTTATACATTATACGATAGATGAAGAATAATGGTAAACACGTAATCGTGTATCATCCTAAGTGGCTATACATACAGTAATAGAAATGATACACTTATACATTAATATACATTTACATAAAGGATAGGGTTGTGGTTAAGCCGAATCACACAAGTACTGGCCTAATGCTTGCAGTCTGTTCATAATACTTTTGAGTTTTTTAAGTACTACTGGTTGGCGAATAAAGAATCTTTTATAGGCTGGATCTGTGTTGTAAAACGGCATGTGCCACTCTCGTGTTAGTGGGCAGAAGGTGACATAATGGTCCGGGCTACCTGGCTGGTCACACACACAGATGTTGGTGTTTGTTATTCTTCGTTCTAGAAAATATTCCGGGAATGGACCATGACCCGTTATAAATCTGGTGATGTGTGGCTGAGATATCTGTCTCTGTCAAGGCTGACTTTGTGAGCGAATTCATAGGTCCTTCTTCCTTGCGGAATAGAATTCCACTCTTCCTGCCATTGCTTGAGTGCGGCGTTTAGAACAGCAGCTTCTTTACATAGGATTTTTGGTAATTTTATTGCCAGTTGTTCCGCATCGAGATTGCTCGCGGCTTCTTTGGCTAGTAAATCTGCCTCCTCATTCCCCTGGTGTCCAGCGTGTGCTTTAATCCAGAAGATGAGGATGCGTCCTTCGTACTGGTGCAGGGTTTGCTGAATGCGCCCTATGATGGGCGACCTGTGAAAAGGATTCCGAATTGCATGAATTGCTGACAGGCTGTCGGTGTGTATTTTGTGCGGTGGAGTAGCTAAATTGACTCGCTGCTAGGATTGCCTGGCGTATGGCTTCGGCTTCCGCCTGAAAGACCGAGTTGCCTGCGCCCAGAAAGCCTTTCCAAGACCCTTAAGGTGCTTCCATTTCGTTTGATGGTATAGCTACAGCCTGTCGTTTCCATTCACCTGGGAGCCATCTGTATAAATCTTAAGGGCATTAGAGTGATCGTTGTTGTCTTCAAGCATCGTTGTATAAGCATGGACATTCTTGCAGAAAAGGGCCGGGTGTACTTCCGCAACTTGTAGATTGCTCTCAAAGTCCTCCGGTGAGAAATGGAGGTTCTGGTATTGAGCAGGTTGCTTAAGGAGAGTGACTTTTGCGATGACCGCTTCCATTTGGGCCCGTATGTGCAGTGGAATAAGTCCAGCCAGCACTGTGGCTGCTGCAGTCGCTGTGGTCCTGTAGGCCCTCGTGATGGCCAAAACAAATGGGCGTTGAACGCTGTTCAAAATTTGTTGCTTCCTTGTAGTCATTGGAAGTGCCCATATGGCCGCTCCATAGATAAGTATTTTTTCTACCACTGTGCTGTATATTATCTTTAGAATGTGGGGGGGGCGGAGCCCCCAGTCTGAGCCTTGCATGCCCTTTATTCGAGGAGGCTATTCTATGAGCTTTAATGCGTTGAGCTCGCAGATGAGGGAGCCAGGAGAGTTTTTCATCGATTAATAAGCCGAGAAGCTTTAGTTCTTTCACTCGTTTTACTCTCTTTTGTCTAAGGTTAATACATGGATTGCGAAGGAGTGTCTGGCCAGGTTTATGGAAATATTATATATTTCGACTTGTGCTCCGAGATTCGTAGCTTCTTTTGGTTGCAGAGCATGTCAAACTGCGAGATAACGTCATTGCAGCGGGCTTCGAGAACGTGCCTGCTGTGTCCTCTGACGATGAATGTAGCATCATCTGCAAATGCAAATGCCTTCGCTCCTTCCGGCCACTGAGTGCACAAGATCGAATTGAAAGTCACGTTTCCATAGGACAGGACCAGCGCATGATCCCTGTGGACAGCCCCTGGTCTGTTGTCTGGTAATGATTCCTCCGTCGTGCACAACTATGAATTTTCTGTTGCTGAGGTAACTTTTAAAAAACTGTAAAAGATTGTTTGGAATATCAGCTGTGTGCAGGGCTTCGAGCACAGCAGGCCACCACAGGGAATCAAATGCACTTTGGAGATCTAAACTTAGTACTGCTACGTGTTGATTGTTACTACTGCGAGCTTCCGTGATTTCTTTCTGAAGAAGATCAAGGGCATGGACCGTTGATATGCTTTCCCTGAAACCGAATTGTAGCTGCGACAAGAATTTTTTCCGGGTGAGGTGATGCTTTAGTCTTGGTGACTGCAAAGTTTTTCTAAAAACCTTCCCTATTGCCGACAACAAGCATATCGGGCGGAAGGAGGCTAGGGTCATTCGGATGCTTCTCAGGTTTGGCAAAGAGGACTACTTGCCCCGTTTTGAATGCCACTGGAAAATACCTGTGCTCCAGCAATTTGTTGAAATACTTGCAAAGGAATCCGGGTTTTGCCTTGTGTACAGCTTTGACTATGCTGTAATCAAGCGAGTCAGGGCCTGGTGCTTTTCGCTTGGGCAGAATACGCATGATAGCGGTTGACTTCCGGATCCTGAAAGGGAGGATCGTCAGTTGCCGTCGTGAAGAGCTGGTATGCCAGGTGAGAATTTTCTGTGAATTCCTCCTGACTGTCGTTGGGAAGATTGCATCCAGGATTTTGGAGAGTACTGCCTCCTTTGTAGTCTCTTGCTCGGGTGGTGAACTGAACTGTCAAAAAGGCGAAGCTGTGGCGGTTTAAAGACACTACCTCGTGCTATTTTGAATAGCGCACCATAAATATCGGTATTATTAGTGCAAAAGTTTCTCCAACACGCAAGCTTTGCATTAAGAATTGCTCTTTTATATTCCGCTTGTGCCTTTCGGTATGAGATGCTGAGTGCCAGCCTAGCTTCCTGGTCGTATTCTTTCATGCGCCTTCTCATTGCGCGTGTTTTACTGCGCTGCGCTCCTATGAAGCAGCTGAAAATCGATGAAACTTTCTACAATGGTGTTCATTTTTCGGCTCATTCACAACGTCATTGTAATTCATGCGAGATATAAATAGCCTACCATAATTGGTGCTTATTTGGTAACTGGTGCCCCATTAACGTAAAAGTACCCACTGTTCTTAGTCATTGAACATTTTATTAAAATCTTACAAAAATTACTTACAAAAATTACCGAGTGCTTATAGAAATTAATATTAGAATGCAACGTCTGTATTAGTTACTTCATTGTGTATTTTATGCCAACATAATGAAGAAATTAGCTCTCATTATGCGCTTATCTTCAGTATCGGAAATGAAGGTGCGGTCACCAGGGCAAAGCGGTAAAGTTAATAAGCACTGGTAGTTCAGCCTGGGTTTGAATCCCACCGCCCAACGGGGCGCTTGCACGGACATTTTCGTGTTTTTCGCATGTATAAGATGTATACGAGCGAGTTTTCCTTTGCAGAGTTTTTAAGGATGGCATTCCTTCCTTTATGTGCTTTGCCGTGTTTCATTCAAAGTAAACCAAACCGGAAATGAAGGAACTTAAAGGAATTTGTTTCTTGTCCATAAAGGTAAATGTTATTACGGAACAAATTATGGCTTATGTAGAAGCGATCTGTGTAATAGAATTGAGTAACCATTGTGTCGCCATTTAGCCCTCGTGTGGCCCTGTAACTTAACTAAATTCTTCAGTAAGCGCTGGATAATGAAGGACGAGGGGCATCCACCTGCTTACCTCTGCTAGACGCAAGTGCCCCCATCACCTGTGTGATAGAATTAAATTTTACTCACTTCTGTTCACCTCATACAAGCTAAAATCGAACTCTTATCTGGAAAGTTGTACCAATCAGTGTTAAGGAAATACAAGTAACTAGAATGCACTCATCTGCAAGTTTAGACAAATTGTAATATCTAATTCGATTACATGAAAAGATAACAGCAGATGCTGAAGTAACTGTCAAAATTGTTTATTTTCAACCCGTGTTGAGATATCGGCTGAAACGTCGGTCATGAAACTAAGGTTACATTTGCGATAAGCCAGTACATACTACTATAAATGCAGTTCTCGCTTTCAAGTAGATCTGGTAGGGATTAATCATTTGTTTTTACGTTTTGAATGGATTATAATTATCTTTCGTTGGGGTTTTCTAAAGTTGTGTGGGCTTCAATTGCTATAATTTATTTTTTTTATATTTTGTGTATTCCTTACACTCCTAAAACTGAATATATATATGTTGTAAAAAGTTGTGAAAATATGTTAAATTCAGAGTCCGTAGTTTTTATATTCAATGATTTCCCCCCTTTTTTAAACTGTGTTTATGTTATGGAAATGAAATATAACATGCGTAGATCAAACGGGTTTCTGTACTCTCCAACTCCTCTCTAGCTTTTTATCCATCTTTTCAAAACATCCCATACATTTTCATTCGATTTTTGGATGGAAGATTCACCAATCTATGTATATTGTGGTTTCAGGTGGAAAATGTAATTAACCTATGTTCTCCTGAAATCTCTTTAGGTGACTAATTGTTATGTATTATAGTTTACATAGAAGTTTGAATTCTGAAACTGGTTAGCCTATAGGAAATGAACTCGCTGCTTTTAGGACTGGTATTTTTCGTTTTCAGATTGGCATGCATGTGAACAAATCCACGAGAAACCACATTATCTGAAGTTTATATCCTCATTTCGTTACCTTAAACAGGATGTACAACTGTAGATAAACCTGGTTATGAAACTCTTTATTCTTCTAACAAGCATTTGATAGGAGTCTTTGATTTGAAATATTCTGTATCGTGTTAAGTTCCATGTTTTTTTTTTTCTGAAATGCGATACTTCTAATTTATGTAAAATGTTTCTCATTTTATAGAATTATAAATGAAATACTGCATAGGAAACCCTTAATTTAAATTATCTCCTAGAAGTTACTAGATTTGATCCAAAAATATTTCAGTGAGGATGATACGTCAGTGGATTTTCCTTTTAAATTGCTTATTAATAGTTATTTTGAAAAAGTTTTCACTAATAATGTTACGAATTTGTACAAGCATAGATGATTTTAATGCATTTTTCTGTGTAATGTAACGCGAAATATGTAGACAAGCTGGGAGAGAAAAGTAAGAATACAGGGGCAAGTCTATTTAACATTGAGTAAATAGGTATCTCGATAATTTGGCGAGAAGTTGCCAAACCTGGCAAACATTTGGAGGCATTTAGGTCGGGACTCTGTATCACTGTAACCGTAATTCGACCCTCATATTACCTTCCAAGTAAGCAGAAAATACCATAAATACCTCGGCGGCCCGTTGAAAACTATATAAGAGCGGAGAGGTCTGTCAGGTTCTGTTAGCTTAACGTGAGTTCCGAATATAGCTTCGCTCTTTAGCTGCGCTTCACAATGCGTTTGTTTAACGTTCTTAACTGTATGAAGTGTAACTGATGTGATACTGTAAACACCTGTACAAGTATTTCTGTGGAATATTCTAGAAATTTGAAATGTCTCGTATGATAAAAATTAATTTTTATTAACCTATCATTGAACCTGTGTGCATTTAATCTATTACGAAACCGTACGCACGCAATAATATTCCAAAAACTTCCAGTTAAAACCAGACTAATTGAAGCCCCTAGGTACTGTCTTCGGGTCAGTCTAGGTACTGCCCTAGGTCAGTCTAATTCGGCTGATAGTTTAATCGCTATCTGGCTTAAAAAGTGCTGAAGCATTCAACACAAATGTCCTGCGATCATGATTACCCTCGTGTCTGTATAGTCTTCGAGTGACAAATAGATTAATAGTTGATATGTGAACAAACTCTGATATTTCAAACCTGGCTCAAGCCTCTTGGAATGGGCTGGTTGCAAGGACTTACTGTCGTTTCCTTCGTGTGTGAGGTAGATGTCGGAAGTTCTTCATTATAAAGGCATTCCTTAAGTTGATAGTCCTTATACATGTGAAAAACACAACTATTTTTCGAAACCAGTTATTCAAGATAAAATAAATATGCAATAAGAATTCAATTGTATGCTAATATTTTATGAAAAAATAAAATTACTTATTAAATGAGAATCATTTAATCTAATGTTTAATGAATGCAGATAATATATAATGTTTATTACATAACTTTTCAATTACTGAAATATTATATTGGAATGTAGCTTTTTTTCAATGGATGGACGAAACAAAAATGTTTTGATTTTAATTTACTTTAATGATAGCGCGCCTAATCTACGCAACCTAATATTAAATTATTTTGCTTTTGATATAAAGTTACTGTCAGGCCAGAAAAGATGTCATTATATTGCTTCATATATATCACTTACTATTAAGAAGTCATTATATTGCATAATCAAAGATTTCATTAATGTGGTTAGGGGACTTCCAATTTTTTTTCTTGTTCGTTTTATTCAGGATACGAAATGAGACCTTGGAATGTCTAGACAATTTCGAAGAACAATGTGTCAAAGAGAATAAAGAGTTGGCTGAAACCGTCAAGAAAACGAGATCTTTTATCAGCGATATATGTATTCCAAGTTCGAAATTTATATCCGGTAAGTATAATTTATTATATTCGCTAAGAAAGCATTTTGATATTAACATTTTATGGTAAATTTCCATTGTTAAATTGTAATAAATGTATTGAAATTTTATTATTGAATTCTTTGAGCCAGTCAGGCGTTTAAGCCACAGATGTTTCGTAAGACAAATAATCTTCAGTTTATTTTATACGGACTTTTTTAATACCTCGTGTGTTGATGTTCAAAATTATTTTTGAATATAGCTGGAATTTAAATTTTGTATCTAAGCGGGCATCAAAGACATGGTGAAGTTGAAGTTCCTGATTTTTCCCTTGGGTTCGGTTTGTAGTCACTTATGTCCTTTTTGCAATCAAATGCGACTCTAAAATATATTGAAAACCTGGTATTTTCATTACCCAAATTGCTCTTCAGTGTATTTCATAAATGCATCGCCTTTTCTACAATGTTTAGTTTGGTTTATTCAATTATAATACCCTTGCTGACTGTAGGATCAGTATCAGGACTATTATCAAATCTTTTAAAGTGGTAAGGATTAGAGATATCAGCATAAACCAGTATTTTAATTCACCTTATGTATAAGCAGCATAAATCAGCTGGCTTTCGTGTCTGGGCTTTGTAAGAAATCAGCAACACTCTTGGTGATGCTCGAAAAAGGGATTAACATGTGCTGCTGTCTCATGAAATACATTTGACCGCATATTCTCCTGTAAAATATGCTGATAGGTTTATATATCTTCTCCCATGACACATTTTGCAGCTCCCTCGATTTAAACTTAAATTTGAACTTGTCTAATTGTACATTTATTGCATCTGAAACCTGGTATAACTATTGAAGAGAAACATTAGCCTGAATTTAGAATCTGAGAATAAAGAATACCAATTTGCAGCATTATGGTTTGAATAAATTCAAACGGTGTTTTTTTAGGTTCGGAATAACCAAAAATTAATTTCCAGTTATTTTATAATTAACTTTTATATTACTTGCGGGGAAAACAGAATAGAATCGCGTCAGAAAATAATACAGTAACAACCCCTTGCGGCGGACCACACAGAGATAAGTAAATCATTTGTGCGGTTACCGCTTCCAAGCTTTACGATGTGTTGGTCGACATGGCATGTTTCTGACATCGCAGACGCAATAATTCGTCCAGTTTGACAGTGCAAGAGACATAACTTCACGACTAGTATCAGGAGATTTTTGCGTTCTGCACCGTGTCCGTCGTCAAAGTCTCTCGATTTCAGGAGGTGATGACTAACCAATGATCTGATTTTTCCTCTGATATCATTCCAGATATAATGAATCAGAGGATGTAAAATACTACTGAAAAATTAAGGAGGCGTGGATAATTCAGTTTGAAGATTTTTTTCCGTTGGAGTTACACATTAGAGAGCTCCTGAACTCTCGACTAGAGACACCTAGACTGCTCATGAACTCTGGACCAGAGACCCTCGTTAGCAGGCTCCTCACACTACGAGGATTATAATTCATACCGATAACTGTCTATCCTATCCATGAATTATATATATATGTAAAGACCATCTCGTAATTGTAATAAATGTTTTGAGTGCAATAATGCAGTAAGTATCATGCAACCTCACAAACGTATTCGATCATTATAAGGAGTCTGACGCGCTGTCTGCAGCCCACTGAACACAGTGGTAACCTGGCAAGTCACTTCCACCGTAGTGATTCCCCAGTGGTGACCCGGACGTGATTTGAACACCCAGCCCTCTGATCTGGAGTCTGATGCGCTACCTACCGCCACTCAACATAATCGTAACCTGACAGTCACTATCACATTAGTGACCACCCTCGCCCTTAACAATTTCGCTTAAGGCGGACCTTAGGCTAACATGAACAAAATTTCGATCTCGTCAGCGATGCACGAATTATGAAATTTTTAAAGTTCTTTGCGTTATTCGATTTTTTCATTTAGCACGAACTTTCAAAGGTTTTCATACTTTTCCTGTTGTCTCTCTGCTAGGACTGCGTTCAGAAACGTTCCGTCCCGTTTAAATTAAAAATCCTTTAAAACAAAACCAACACGAGTAACACTGCTCGACAATCGCGGTCATCGCGTCATCAATGAGCAGCGAAGTCACCTCTTATTTAAATGTGCTTACTGTAACACTTGGCATATTATGTGAATAAGTCCAGTTAAAATGTAAGTGATTTGTTTTAATATAAAGTATTCACCCAGATTTACTGGACTGTAGTTGGATATGAATTTTCAAAGCATTTCAACATGTCTTTATTCTTCGAAATTCTAGCTGCACTGTTCGACAATCCTGTAGATGGCGCTCTGTTAGCTATCAGGTTACGACAACTAACGTTAAGTTGCGCTAAGAAAGTGAATCACGGCCAAGAAGCAGACAGGCATAGATCTGCAAACAAAACTAAAAATATTAGTAGTAGACCGTGGTGTATTGAAGAAAAGTAGCAATTACCGAAAAGTATGGAATTCCCAAATCTACCTTATCCACAGTACTTAAAAGTAGTAAATGAGATCTTAATGCTGCTGCATCGGGTTCCGAGAAAAAATCTAAGCAAGTACGAAACTTCATTTTTAGAATCGTTCAATCATATGTGAGTTTCCAGTGGACCTATAATTTAAGTTCACCTATAATTCAGTCCAAATCAAAAGAGATTGCATAATATTCAGACATTTCAAATTGTAATTGTTCCGCTGGTTAGCTATACCGTTTACAAAAGAAACGCTCAGTTTCATCATTAGTTATGTGTGATGAAGCGAATAAATTTGATGAAAAAGGAACAAACAACTTGCATGAATTTGGCCAACTGAGAGAAGTAGTGTTGTGTGCAGTATGGACGACACTGAATCATCGAAACAAAAGCTGACGCATGCCATGGTGGAGCATACAGCAAACAACGTTTAACTATTGCCCTTTATGTAATACAAACAGGGATAAACACCGTCCTTGAGTGATCAGTAAGACCAAGAAACCACATTATTTTAAGAATGTAAACATTACTTTTACTGTAAGACAGCATGGATCGACAGCTCGTCAAGTGGCTTGGTTTTAATGGTTGAATGGTGACTGAGAATAGGCATGTTCTTAGGAAATTTGACAAGTGTACATCCCGTAACATACGCGATCTGAGCCTAACCACTCTAAAGGTTCACATTTCTCCCAATATGCAACAAGTCGTCTTCAGCCTTTGGGTCAAGGCATTATTGGTCTTATGAAGTCTTACTGCAAGCGACTTACGAGAACTGCAATTTGCGCTGCTGAAACGACAAAGGCCAACTTGGAGTATGATTGATGCAAAAAAAGCTATTGCTTCGTTCTGAAAATGCGTGTCATCACAAGACATGCAGAACTGTTTCAGAGGAATCTTTAGAAATATACGCCCTAATCCTCTTGACGAGTTGGATGATATCAAAGATATGACTTTTACTTCACTTAACGAATGGTGTTAGTTTGACGAGTTTATTAGTGCAGATGACGATATTGCCATGTGTGCTGCATTGGAATCCGATGTACCGGCAACTGTGTCTGAGGTGCAAGAAATGTCATTAGAAGAAAGTAAAGAAGACTATATCATTCTACCCATGCGCCAGGGAGTGTTACATGCTTTGGACACTGTAAAACGTTTTGCTGTAACATCGAATTGACCGCTAGTTTAGAAGACATGAGTACAGTTTACCGTGAATTTACCAAGTATTTTCGTTCTCGTCTGCGACAGCGCAATGTAGAGAAATGTTTCGCCAGAAAATGACTCCGAGTACATGTTTTCAAATTGCTGTAACGTAATTTAGGTATTATTATAGTATTTTCTATTACAACATGCATAATATACTGTAGTACATATGTAGTATATTGTAAATGACTGATATGTAGAAAAAACTATTCCAAAGTTTGAGTCCCCAGTTAACACCAATTGTTTTAACATTAACTCTTAATTTTTGAGTTCCTTGGGATTCATGTTAATGAGGGTTTGCTATATATCGATATATTGTTAAATCAGAATGGTAAGTCAAAAATTGTATGGATATATCGTTAATGCACAATACATGTTATATTTATGAAACAATTACATATCGAAATTGTTTTCATGAGTGTGCTTAAAGTAATATTTACTTAGGCAGGTTGCGTATAAAACTTCTTAAGAAAGCATCTTTTTGTTAGTGGTATTCATGGACAAGTCTTTGTATTCCATTTTTTAACGGACAAAGGATTGAATTATGGCAAACCTGCCTAAAGGAAGGTATGTCTTCATGCGCTTTTTAAAACAAAACTGGATCGTATGTTCATAACATATGAGGAAAAACTACGACACCGTCCATGCAGCCAACATTTTTGCCATATTGTTAAACCGGGTCGAAAAACCATGGCTCAACCGTCTTATCCACTCAGTCAGTGGTGAGATAATCATTTGTGACGATATTTTATGAAATTAACTAATCTATATTTTTCTATCATCATCAGTTATTTATATTTGATTATGTTGCTTGACTTCATGTTATGGAAGATCTTTCTGATTACTACTGTCTGAGCCGCCTGAATATTATCGCCCAAAGAATGGGAATTAAGTTTCGTCTTATATTAAAAAGTAATGGAAGTTAGCTTACCTATCATCATAAATGTGCGTAAGATTCGCGATTGCATATCATATTAATCATTATGTGGAAGCGAAGTATAAGTCAAACTTAATCTGACTCTCGTAAATAAGCAGCTCATCAGTGGCTGATTGGTTAAAACCGTAAAATCCTCCTAGCAGGATCCGGGTTCGAATTCTGACGAACGGGGTGACTGTAGGGTGTTTCCTTTGTGCAACAGGAATTCTAACCAGTTTGCTTTAGAAAGTCCTCCATAACTGTAACCCTACCTTTGGGCAAGATGGCCTTCGTGTGCTTTATCACAGTCGATTAAAAAACAGACTTTCTCTTGGAAGAAAATTTCGCTGTATTGACATATTCTAGGATGTACTAGAATTCTAGGTCAATTTTCTGACTTCGAAAATTTTTAAATTGGCACGTTTGAAAAATTTTTTCAGGTACTGTTATATCTTCCGTCTTTTCTTTCACAATAAATGCCCCTTATTCAAATCCAAGACTGATTCTGTAGAATATCTTTCACCTCCTTATGAGCTTTATTTTGCAGTATTTAAATGTCTTTTTGTTAAGTAAATAGGTAACAAATAGTTTAAGAAGTTTCGTTACGTTTTAAATATCCCTTGAAGTAGTTCTTGGGTAACGGTAATTTCTTCAAGATACGTATGTTCTGCATAAGGCATTTGTCAAATTATTCAAAACATTGACTTTAACCAAAGAAATATTTATTATATATTTCCCTGTTTTTATAATGGTAAGAGCAAATACATGTAAAGTATTAATTTTCGTGCAATACGAAGCGGCTGCAATTTTTTTGCCAACTTAAAAGCAGTTTTATTTTGCAGATGCGATAACTTACGGAGGGTGTTTCAAAAGTGCATCTGGAAGCTTCTTGCAGTGTCTTAATTCATCTGAACCAAAAAACTTTGGAAGTGACACTGATTCAAAGTTAAAGAATGATTGTTGGTAAGTAAAGGTTCATTCTCATTCATAAGTTCATTTTACATGAAGTAAATTAACAATAAAATCGAAAACTCAAACAGGCGGAAGCAGAGGTTTTCCACCATACACCCCTTTCTCCATTGCTGGACTATCACCCGTCTTCTCTTCAAAGGTCGAAATATTTAAATTTGGATTATTTTTTAATATATTTTCTAAATTAAAGTGTATGGAAAACGTTTTTAAATACTAAAACTTGAATAAGTCATTTTTTCATATTCATAAAGTAAAATAACAGTTAAAAGGCTGACCACATTCTTCCAAGAAGAGGGGGGGGGGAATTCCGCCATGGTTGACAATCCATGCTACAAGGTTCGAAGAAATCTCGTGGTTAGTAATAAAAGTTGTAAATCAGATTAGTATTGAATGTAAAGTAGTTTATCTTACTGAACGTTCAAAAGCTTTCTATACTTCATTTTAAATGCTTGAATTATTTCCAAATTTAAAAATTATAGATCGTTTATACAGTGTGATGAAGCAAAACGGTTACTTGTGAAATTACGATTCATCAGATAACAGGAGTGGAAACTAGTCAGTAATTCTGAGTTACATGCAAACTGGACCCTGTGTGATTAAAAGATGTCTATAATTTGGCTTTCGTTTTTAGAAAGAATAATAGAGGTGAGGAAGTCTTCAAATTTTCATATTCGTTAACTAGAAGCAAAGTATTAGTTAAATTTGAAGTTTTTTTTCCTAATCTGGAAAATCATTAAATACGAATTCGTGATATTCGACGAATGTAGGTTGATGTAAATTAATTTAAGAGGAATTTCTCTGTGAAATTTGGAAATGTGGTCATTAACACGTTGAGCGCGGCGCCGAATTTGCTATCATTTCCCTTCAGCCGGCAGCGAGCTAGGCCGTATTTTTGTTTAGGTTTAATGTTTAAATAATTTCATTATTTCATTGAACCATTTTTTTTTTAACTTTAATATAGTCGGTTCCCCGAACCGACGCCAGCCAAACGAAAATTCCAGTGCCGGTCCCCAGGGACCGACGCCGGCCACACGGAAAGTTCACTGCCGGGCCCCCGGCGCCGCGTTCAACGTGTTAACAGCCCGGCATGAGTTGTGCGGCTAAAGTAGGTACTTAAATATATTGATTGCATATGTGCAGTCAATTGTAAAAGTAACGAGTGATTATTTATTTATTGCATAACGTTAATAGGCCAGGAAAAGAAACTGATGATTAATGGTGAAGTTAGAGGAAGATGGAAGGGAAATTCAGATGTACAATTTGGTCATCTTCATTTGAGTTCAAACCTTATTGCACTCTGGGCCTAAGCTGTGAATACGAGCCACTTTCTTTTGCGAAGTCCACTACTAAAGAATCCTTACCCTCAGGGGCCAGACTGCCGTTGTGTGCTGTTCCCTGTTCTAATTGCCCTAACTGAACGTTAGCAGATTGCATTTTACCTTGGCATGGACTCCAGAATTTCCCAGCAGCATACGTGATAAAAATTTGCGTGGAGTTTTAAAACTTTGGTTCAGAAACTTTGCAGTTGCTGAGGAATTTTCAGGAAGCACAAAGCTTTTGTGAATGGAAGAGAGAATGCTGAGAACGAAAGTGTCTAGGATGTTCTACGAGGGCTTAGATCATGTGGTTTCGAATAATCGAGTGTTTCAGAAATAATTACTTGCAGCCGTTGGGAAATTTAAAACATATAGTTTTTCCTGTGACAAGTAACACATCTTTGCTTGTAAGGGAATTCTTAATTCAGAAGAATAACCATGTTTCTTCATCTTCCGTAGAATTCTCTATTTCTTGGGATTTCTGTTCTTAATTTTGAGATATTTGTAATAATCAGGTAGTTATAGGGGGTTTGAACGACTTTCGAAATGAAGACTTCCGCTGTTATGAGAGACAATGACTACTTAAATTAATTAGTGATGACTACTTAAATTAATGGTAACTTCTCTGTTCAGTTCCAATTGGTTTATGAGTTGTATTTTGTGATTTCCTAATTTTTTGCATTCTTTTTGTTGCAGATTGAATTTTTATTTATATTATTGATTCCAATTCTCCTTTAATTCAAGTATTCATGGGTTGTGAAGTACAAATCAGAATGCTCATATGTATGTGTATAAATTTTAATCTAGAAAGGCAAATTTAAAAACAGCACATTACGCGATTTTGGATGAATAAAAATTCGTTTTAGTTAAGGAAAATTAAATTTATTCGACCACACTGTATTTAGATCTTTAAAAATTCTAAAAAGTAATAGTCAGTATAAAGGATACAAAATACTTGTACCCTTTACAAATCAGCGTCTTTAAATTCATTCTATGTAATTTCGGCTTGTAAAATGTTAGTTTTAGAATGAACTTTGAAAAATCTCCTATTTAAGCAACCTTGTTCCAATGTGAATTTAAGCTTGAAGGGAATTTTTGTCGCTATAAATTTTGCGCACAGTTTACTAATTTCATAAAGTGTTGTCTGTCCGAGACATTAGAATATTTTATGCATAATATTTAAATAGTTGCTCTGGAAAGTTGCGGAATACAAGCTGTGCTTTATTTCCAAGTCTAAAGACGTAACTTTTTTTTTCATGTATTTCTCCATTCAGTAACTTTTGTTGGGACATGCGATACATTCTGGAGACATTTACCGCATTCAGAAAAGATTACAAATTTTGTATGTGAAGCTCGGCTAACAAGTTCTTCTTATTCAATTAAAGGAAATGCATTTTATTTAAAATGAGGCAAGAAGATTCATTTATTCTATCTTTTGTACATTATAAACACAAATCTTCTATTGCTTAAATTGCAAAGATATTAAAAATGTGGCTTGAAGAATAGAAAAATCTTGATAAATCAACTGTCAAATTTTTAAAAAATTGATCGAAATTGGAAACTTGCAGCTTTTCTTAAATACTCTAATAAAACATTTAAGGCCAAATGGTTTTTAACTGTGTAACATAAGGGTATTAATACAAAAGTAGTGTTTTAAAATTATACTTGGTATTCTGTTGCAGTGGTCCATATGCTTAGAAAATAGTATATGTTTTACAAAATGAACCATTTATATTAATTCATATCAGTTTTTGAAAATAAGCATTTCGGTTCAATGTGTTTTTTCCTGTAAGCACATTCTTAACCAAAGATTTTAATATCTTTCTATATGCTACGTGCGGAGGAAAAATCAGATCAGAAACTGTTAATTGGAAATCAAACATTAAGATTTCATCTGTTTTCCGGTGAATGAATAATTCAGACAAACTGCTTTTAATGAGATGAATTCACCAAAGGTCGCATGTGCAAATGCAGAAGCTAAAAGAAAAATTACAATTTCTTCGATTCTAAAGCGTGCAATTTTTTAATATAGTTGAAATCTGTGAACCTCAGAATCCATGGTGTCATAGAATCTCAGATATTTGCAAACTATTAATCATTACCTAATAATTAGTTTTTCGAAATATTAATTTAAATAGAAATGTATGGTAGCATTTAACCGGCATTAATACATTGCAAAATTTCTAGAAACGATAATTTTATAAAAATTAACTATTTTGATTTCAGCATCTATAAGGAATTGAGGAACTGCGCCGTGCAAAAGGTGGAAGATTCTTGTGGTGAAACTGCTTCTCAAGTGATTCATGAGGACGTGATTAACATTAACGGAGCTGGATTTGAATTGGTGTGCAAGGATCTTTTTCATGAATGTGGAGCAGCGACTGGGGTGCTGGCATCATCGGCAGCTGTACTTATTTCTCTGTTTATCACAGTCTTGTTTTCAGTGAATTCCTGATTGTCACTTTTTCTTGAAGTTATTGTTATTAAATTATAATTTTCTAACCGTTAACTACGGTTCATTTTTGCCTCTACTAATTATTAGGTAGGATCTTGATAAAAAAAATCTAGACATTTAGCCGCACTAAAAGAATCTAATAAATAGTCATCATTGTTAGAAGGTGGTTACTCATGGTTTAATTTGAAAAATTATAAATGTGAAGGCCTTAGAAGACCGTCAGGGAAGCTAACCAAGAGTAAATAATATTCAATTAATAAAATAAAATACAAATAAATGAAAAATTAGTTCAAAAGGAAATTAAAGTATATGAGCTCAGTGTCTGTGGGTTTGGGTCTGAAACCACGTTTTTATTCGAAGAAGTACCGGAGCCAGGTTTCGGTGGATTTGGGGATGAATTTAATAAATACCACATAAAGAAAAATTTCCTATTAAAGTTGAAACGTGTTCAACGTTTTCTTTTAAATATTGAAAATCACCCAGAGAGGATGATTGCGATTAAGGCTTAGGTTAACTTGGGTCATTTTTATTATAGTTCGAATATGTATGTGACAATGAAGAACAGAATGAATTTAAAAAAGCATCAGTTCTCCTTTTGCTATTACTGAAGATGTTGTTTTAGTACTACTTTGAATACCAAATTCGTTTTACATGTTAAGTATAAACAATACATCAAGAATATTTAAAATTTTGCATTCAGTTCAAATTCCGCAAATGAATAATTGAATTATTTGTAAATAATATATTGGAAGTTGTTATGTGCGGATGTAGTATTTCGGCGCAAAAACTGTTATGGGTGTTTTTCCCAAGAGGCGGTATCAAAATAAAAATGATCAATTGCAGTCAGTAAAGCTCCGTTATAATAAAAACATTACTAATTTATTAGAACATGTCTTCCATATATGTAAATTCAAGTTATTTTCTTGGATTGCACAAAATTGCACAGCCATGGTACTGTTTTTAAATCTTCCCCCGAGGATTCAATACTGTGCTGTACTCAGTTTTACCCGAACACGTTTACTTTTCGGCTTGTACGAAAAATTAAGCTTAGTAATTTTGAAATATGATAAATCAGTTTAATATAAATTAAATATCCAAAACAATTATATATATATATATAAACAAATATAGTCTTCAACGATGCAGTAAGTGATTGTAAATAAAAACTCGGCTTATCATTGGATTATGTATACCTAGACTGAACGCCCAAAAATGGCTACGGAGTCTTATGTTTAACAGTATTTTGGATTTCATTAATGAGCCAGTAGCCCTTCGAAAACTTTTCTCAATGGTCCTTACCTTTGATAGTAACCGCAAGGAAGCATACAGGCTGTTGGGAAACGGATCAAGAACTCCCTCAGGGGGAGCCAGCAGTATGTATGAAACACAAGCAAACGGTCATTTCACGCAAAGAATAATACCACTTCGTAAAATGCGTGAGATAGTTTTGAGTTTGTGTAATGTCATGCAGTATGTCGTTCCACTATATTCTGTATTGTATGCGTCCAACAAAACAATAATGAATAAGTCATTCTCTTCACAGATAAACATTTCCGACCTTTATGGATAAATAAGGTTTTATCTGGCATGCAGAACTGAGATGTCAGTATTCCATAGTCATTCTTCTGTGGCTGAACAAAGTTTCACATAGGGTTAAGATATTGAAAAGTGAAAGCACCTCTGTGTTACTACACGGAATCATCGCTCATTTGCTGATTCTTCATTGAAATGATGGAGGCACTCAGTGTAAACTTGATTAAATCTCGGTTTTCAGTGGGGTCATGATGGTACATATTTCAGGGATCCTCAGAGCATGTGTTGATAGCTCTCCGAGAGACTGTTTTTCTAGTGTAACGGGTGGTTCGGCTATTATCCTTTTACAATATCGTTCATACTAGCAATTGATTCTATAGTGATATCCCAATGTGCAAGCTCTTACTCCGTGCTTATACATCTTTCACAGAATCAATTACACTTCTTTACAGTGTTACAATCAGTCATTCCCATAGTTATTACAAGGCTAAATTTCAGCTCCATTAGCATTATTTTGCCATCAGGAGCTGTCATCGCTGGCCTGTTTGCTTGAATCCACGTTACGACCATAACTAATCAGTTTACTTCAACATGTGCAAAAGACATGCTAATTTTCCTGTCAATAACACTTCCTGACAAAGTATTAGCTCTGATACAAAAGACACTAATGCAAGTTATATATATACAGAGAGAGAGAATGATAAAAGTATTTTTTTTAATTTGGACGTTTGATTAATTTTGAAACTCATGCGTGGAGTTAATGTCGCTTAAATAATTTTAAACCGTGATCAAATGATGTAAAATTCATGCATTCTGTTTCAGCTTTCCATAACCACAGATGAGTTCTTAAGGAAAAACAGCAATAGATTTTACATTTATTTGGGCTGCGTCATAAAAATGTTATAAAAAGAAATATGAATTTAACGAATATATTAAAATTAAAAAGCTCTGACTTGAGATGCAGAAAGCGAACTCGCAAAAGATGAATTAAAGGAAAGTATGCCATTATTGAACATAAATGTTCAGTTAAAAAGAAACATGGCTGACGTTCGGTCCTGTCGGTTGACTCAAATTTATTCAAGAAATTACACTAAAAAAATTGATGTTCTCTGTGTACTGATATGACTACAAATTATTTGAAAGAGTATTTAAAAGTTAACACCATGATTTAAGTGTTTAGGCTTTGAACATTCCAAACGATATTACGGGTGGGAAAAAAATAAAAATGCCTCAAAAATGGCAGTTCATCCTCTCAAAATATTTCATTGCAAAGAATTATTCTTGTATTAGTTGTTCTATAACAAATAGTAGATTCTGTTAAATCTAAGAACATAAAATGAATGTGAAAGTGAATTGTGTGCATGCTATAAAACTAAAAAAGGGAATAAGAATTTTTGAGAAAGAAAATTGACTACGCTTTGGCAGAATTTTTATATTACAAATTACTTTACAACCCTCAAGACAGTGTTGTAGCCACAGCTAAGGGTAGATATGGAAATAAATAAAATAAATACGCATTCAAGAATCATATCGCAAAGTGTCAGATCTGCCATTCGCAAATAAATCCAGATTGCAGTTGTTCCTTCAACTGTATGAGCATATACATGAGAGCTCTAGTGCAGGCCTTTTTAAACTTTTTTCAGTTTCAGTTTCCCTTTTTACCACTGAGTTTTTTTCGTGAACCCCAGGACCCCATAATATTTACGAAAATTTTGTGGGACACCATACGCATTGCGCAAATAGGATAGCGTGTGTAAAACTGTCGATTTTTTCACTTTTACTGTAATATACTATTGCAGTTTTAGGTAATTAACTTTAATGTCTAATTTTAAGACTGGGAACAATGTGAACATTTTAAATAAGTAACAGACGAAATGACAGCGTCACGTTCAAAGCAAGTAAAAGGAACGTTTCTATTATAAAAAGAATGCGTCGAAACGTTTTCATTTTTTTCTTTGTCAGTATTGTCTTATCTTTATTCTCAGATGCATTGTGTAAAAATATTTGGTAATTGTAAAATTATTTTAAGTTAAAGAAATATCAAAACTGCTAAATTTTGTGGCGACCCTCCGTTTAAGAAACGGTGCTCTAGTGTAACATTTAGGTAGTTTTGATAGAGGAAAGTTACGCTTTTATTGTTTGCTTTATATACTGTCCACTTTGACTATATTTGACCTAAATATCTTTTGTGACGAATATGTAAATACTACAAGTTTACGCGGATTTCAGTGTTAATCATGCTAGATGGGGATTTCATTCGACATAGAAGGTGCGAAAATGGGAGAGCCTGAATAAAACCGAACGATAGAATACTAGGATAAATCCAGCTTCAGTGATAATAATTTTATTAAATTTGGATTTCTGTTTATTTAAGCTAAGAGAGCAGATCTAAGTTTAAAATGATAAATACCTATCATCTAAAATTTAAGCAAATGATTTCAACATATTTTTAGTTTTATTTTGAAATAATAACAACTACTCGGAATACGAATAATCCAGATCAAGAATTAACAAATATGTTAAAAGAAACTTATTTTAATTTTCTAAAGTTACGTAGATATTCGAAAGAATATCGAAATTCTGACTCAATTAGTTATCTCTTTAAAGGGAAAAAGGGCGCTTTGCAGAAGATGTTAAAGGTACGTTTTAAATAAATCGGAGAATCTAAAACTTGCAGTCGTATAAGTACAATAAATTAAATACAAGAATTATTTTTAGAGCAAATCTAAAAAGGCTATTTGTGCCGTGAAAACTTGGCAATGATTTATGCACAACTAAACTACAGAGGACAAATGGCAGATCTTTTGAAATAAGCAAATTTAACAGGGTAGAAGGATTTTATACTAATACAGCGGAAGATGCTATCGAGTCTATAATTTACCATCGTCACACCAGTGAGTGGTTAAAATCGTTGAATGCTAAGAGTTTATACTGGCGAACGGGCTGGCTGCTTGGTTGTTTTTTATGGTTTTTTCAAAGTATGTGAACTCGAGATATTTCTTATGAGAATGCGCTCGAAGAGTCTGAGAGAAACATCACTTCCGTTAGGAAAGTAGTTCTCGAGTGATTTACCATAATAAAATAAACCGAACTCAAACCCTTAAAAAGTTGTCCACGAAGACATTCTTCTCCTTACCCTTCTTGTACTTTCTCGTACTCGAATAATCAACTAACCAGTCCTACACCCAAGTCAAAGTAGTCATCCTTTAACTTGAGACAACTAGGTTTTACCTAGGATAAAATAATTCACATGACTCAACAGTATTTGCTGTATTCGAGATTACATTGGACTTGACCGAAGAATTAAAATTAGCAAATGATAAAATTGTTTTAAAGAGCATTCAATTTATGTTTGGAACAGAACTGTTGTGATACCATGACTTTGTTTAAAGAAGTAGCAATAACTTTTCATAAGAATATCCAGTTAAAAAAAGAATTCCAAGAGGGAAAACAGTTTAATCCAAAGTTTGCTCCAGGCTCTAAGAATTTAAACCAAAGTTTTTAAAGAAATAATAAATTATGCCCTAACAAAAGCCAAATTTCAATTTTATTGGGTTTGCACTCAATGTAATGAGTAAAGAGTAGGCTGATTAGACAATGGAAGTGTAAAACATTGTGTAAAAAATCGAAATTTAAAGAAATCATATTATTGAAATTTTTTTATTGTCTGGGAAAATTCTGTAAAAATGCATCTTAAATAATACGCATGTGCCAGAAAAAGGTGGGATTCGATGGTCACACACACATATAATATATATATGCGTGCGTGTGTGCGTGTGTAAGATAAGAAATATATATATCGAAATTATAATTTAAATTAGCGGTAAATTCCTCATTTTTAATTTTGTATTTTCCCTTCTATTTTAAAAATAGTAATAACTACTCCTGGAGTGTGTCATTTCTAGATCGGCGCCTATCATATAACTTGCATAACACTGATGATGTAGCTAAAAGTCAAAATTTCGAGAGCTGAAATCTTTCTCTTGGTGATCTTCCATATTGAATAACTGAACACTTTTCTGTTTTCTGTACTCGGTAAGACACTCTCTCTTCCTATCGCAGCAGTATCAAAGATAGATATCCAAGTGATATCAAAGGTAGGTCACAAGTCGCAAAATATCAAAGATAGGTCCTGAATAGGCATGATTAGAACGCCAAGTGGGGGCAAATGTCAAGTGAAATAGAGGTGAATATTTAATCTGGCTCGGCTGTCAAATTTGCTTTTCAGTGTAGATCAATATTCTACTCCATCAAATTGTTCACTTTGCTTTATTACATATAAATTTAACTATTAATTTTCTGCTTATGATTTTCTCCTAGAAAATGAAGTATAAAACTGTTGTAAATTGAAATCAAGAAATGCTAATACTTTGTATAGAATTTTTAATAGTATGCATCAAATCGTGCATTTTGAAAAAGAAAGAGAATACTATGTACATAAAAATAAGATAAACTAGTACATACATAAAATAAGTAAATTATTGTTGATTTATCAAGGGAAATTAACTCTACCCCCAAAAATATGTATAAAAAATATGCGTATGGTATATATCTAGTGCTTTTGAAGTAAAATTTGTATGTTTAAGAATCTTAAAATGCACTATAATTAGTAGAATATATTGCTATACCGAAGTATATTTCTGGATTAGAGTGTTAACAAGCGAATATTTATAAATTCCTTATTCTTTAAAGGAAAATATTTGCATCTGTCTATGGTCGTTGTAAAGGTTTGCGATCTGAAAATGAAATTATAAATCATCTGGATAAAAATATTCTTTCGGAAATTAGTTTTACATTTTATAGTTGTCTGAATAAATCCTTGTAAAATGAATAACAATATCAGAAATTACTAAAATTTTTAAAAGTATTTATTATATAAATCACTATAAAAGACATAATACATACGCAAATTTAAATTAATACACTAAATTTCGAAATCAGTACATGGTGTTGCACAATATACCTCAAGACATATATGGAATAAAAAAGGAAGTCACGGTTGAGAATTGTATTGGTACTGAGTTAAAAAATAGTAGACTTCCGATTAGTTAACCTGTATAAGTCAGAATCTTAGAAATGAATAGGCCTTTAATTTATAAATAAATTAACAGTCCTTTAATTCGAAAAAGTGTGCTTAAAATGTTATTATTACTTATGTACCACTGATCGATGTCCTTTTGTTTCAAATCGATTACGGTCGCTTAAAATTGTTAAGTATAGTTAGTGTGTCAATATCTTCGACCAAGTGCCATCTTGGAGTTTAGTTTCCAAGACCATGACAAATGCAACTTTCAGAACTATAATTAGAAATGCTCTTATTTACTTTTAATTTTACCTCTGGAGCAAATAGTATGTTAGTTCTTAGTTCAGTGCAGTGTACATTTTCTTAAAAATGGCTATAAATGTTTGATTCGAGGAACAATATAACGACCAATTAAAGCGAGATCGAATAAGAATATTCCTCCGTACTTTTGTACAATAAGTTCAAAATAGCTTGCCAAGTCAGGAAATGACCAACTTCATGAAATGTTTCAGACCTAAACTTTAAGGGGGTACAGCATTCAGCTTCGTCTGAACATAAATTTTCTCCAGTTCATTTATTGTTCACTTCAAAGACATTTACTGAAAACGAATTGCAATAAAATTGCAGAGAGAATATAGAGATTAGAAACTGTGGCATAATTAGCTGCATTCTTATGTTTTGGTTTCTTCCACTGATCGGCCACAGTAGTTTGACTCCAATCTTCGAAATCTGTCTTTTGTGTAGTATCATGGTTGAAGGTAGGATTTGGAGGAAGATTGAAGCCTCTTTCGCTTTCTGTCTTGCGAGTGTAAGATGCTGTTGAAGTTTGATCCTGTTCTAAGCACTCATGCATTGGAATTGATTCACATCCTTCCCACTGAGGTTGGAAGTATCTCAGAAGAATTTTTTCAAGAACTTGTGCTGCTTCTTCCCCACAGTGTGTCATAGCAGCTCTTGTCACACAGTCTTCGTGAGAAGCCAAAGCACTATAATTGTAGAAATTTGCTGAAATTACTACATAATATATATCATAAAAACTAACATTAAACAAATATGAAGAATTAATTTAATACTTCTGCAGTCAAATTTAATACTTTTTACTGAAATGAGAGTAGGATATTATTTACAAATGCTTGATTAATTAATTTTTTGAAGATGCTGTTATTTTCATCTGATGAAATTATATTATTTAGCAATCATATAAAAAATATTTTAAAGCATATTATGAATTATAATTTACAAGTTTGAGTTCTAACCTTTTGATAGAATTGATAGAAATATTTATATAAATAAAAGCAGACACTTTGAATTTACATATCAGACTAGAATTAATGTAATACACTGAAGTCGGAAGGACACTACTACGTTTACAAACATCCATTCCTTCTCCAGTATTCAAACCCGGGCCCTTTGCTACCACAGTAGGGTCTCCTAAATAATATACCGTCTGTCGGCTTTTGTTGTTCTGATTGAAAAGTATTATTTAATGTATAAAACAAAAATGCTTGAAAAAGTGTTTAAATGAAATATAAGGATGCATTCATAAATAAATGATTTCCCTCAAACAATAAGTTTTAAAACATGAAAATCGATCATACGATTCTGTTATAATACTAGACTTCAAATAATTAGGATGTGCCATATTGCTGTAAATAGTTATAATCTTTTAATTAACAGTCTTTTTTTATAGCGGGATTATCCATTAAATGGTAATATATAGTTATAATTTGCTAATGAAGTAAAATATTAACAAGAAACCAGTTCAGAACTAAAAGTACAAAAAACGCCTTTCATTAATCTTTGTAAATATGAAATTCACTTTAAGTATCTATGTTTAAACTATAATTTTTAGACAGTGTAAACTCAAATTATACTAGGTAATTCCATTTCACAATTCGTAAATACCATAGGCCAAAGCCTTATTTTCCCACAAGCAAGGAAAATAAGTCATTTTATAGAATGAGATATTTTCTTTAAAATTTGCCCCGAATAAATTGGCTGTTTCAACTAACAGTGGTCCTATAAACCAGATTCAATTGCATAATAATTGTTACAAGAAAAAAAAACTAAGCTTACCAGCATCTGTGCCTTTTATCACTTTTCATCCGGTAACTAGACATATCCGGCAGATCTGATCCACAAGAAAGAATCTCTGTTCTTATGAGCTCGAAACAAGGAGAAATCGCTTTATATTCTGAAAAGGAAGACGACATAGCGTAAATAGTGCATCTTCATGAAACAACAGATTACAATCTGGAATTCACGAGAAATAATGCTTTTTAATACTCAGATTTGAAATTTTTGATAGTAAAATAATAATTAGGTTACTATAATCTTCGGTGATTGACTAACTGTAGTATATACGAGTCAATTAAGCCTAAAAAAATAAGTACGATCAATAAGTTTCCAAATCTGATTAAATAACTATAAATTTGCTAAGAATTAAAGAAAGTGAGTTTATAACAACATTCGAAAACTTTTTTGAATAAGTATGTTTATATTTACTTATTTCGTTGCGTAAAATTTAATAATTTTCTACCTAATATCAACGGAAATTTTCTCAGAATTTGGTTCTCAGCGAAAAAGAGCTTGGCTACTTAAAAAATGTTTCGGAATGTTTCTCGTGTATAACTAGAAAATACTTCAGTTGTTCCTTTTTCAAGGACTTTCAACGTTTTATATAAAGGTATGTCTCCTTTTGGTAGGTGTCTATTAGCTTACATTTTACTTAACTAGTTAATTACCTACCAGCAGAAGCGTACTATCGACAAGAAAACGTACACGTAAAGCAACACACAAGTGTTAACAGTTTCTGGCCACGAGAGGGCACGCTTTTTTTATTTTATGTTTATTGTTTTTCTTATTGCTTCGTGGATTTTTTTATTTTGGCGTAATGGCAACGGGTGTACTCCAACTGCGCTAATGAACATCCCCCCCCGGGTCGTGCTATAGTCCAACTGGGCCCACCAGCGGCCGAGCGGTAAAGTCGCTGAACACTGGTAGTTCGGTCAGAGGTTCGAATCCCGCGAACGGGCTGGCTGCATGGGCGTTTTCGTGGTTTTCCCCATGTGTAACGTGTATACGAGCCAGTTTCCCTTAGAAAGTCCTCCACGAAGGCATCCCTCCCCTTAGGCAGATAGCCCTAGTGTGCTTTGCCATAATTAAATACACCACCACACCGCTATAGTCCAACTGCGCCAATCAAAATTTCTTCCCGCTGCTGCCTACAGGGTTACAATTTAACTTTTTGAAGCCAATATTAGCCAAGAGGAAATAAAAATAAATTACATATCACAAGAACAAGTAAAAAATCTAACAAGCAGGCTAATTTACTTGAATAACAGTAATAAATGCGACCGCTAACAAAGAAAATAAAAGGTTGGTAAACATACAGATTAGCATTAGAAACATCTTCATTTATTATAATATCATAATTAATAATTATAAATCATACCAATTACTTTTAATAATTACATCATAATAGTCAATGTCTGAACTAGACTGGAAATTTCATAGAGTTCCTAGCGTGCAAAAATTATTCCATATCAAAGTGTGTTAAGTGTGCTAAAAATATTTTTTTGTTAATTAAAGTAATCATGTAAATGTTTGCAGAAATTAAATTTAGTTAAATTTAAAAAATGCTTAGCATGAAATCTATTATAACACATTACAACACTGAGTATAATTTAATATATGCTAAGAAGTTTTTTTCTAAATTTATTAGAAGAAAGGAATTAGATAAAAATACTGCAAATTAATATAATTAATCAGGCCTCTCAATAAAAAAGTTTTATTTTTTAACCAAAAATTAAAAATTGAGATGCAAAGTTGAGTAATATACTTGAATATCTAACATATTGTAGGGGTTTTTTTTTTTTATTTATTTTAACTAACATTTATTTTAAGCTATCTTTCCTGTCAAGCCTTTACTTTCCCCTAGAATGCCAATGCTAGAGTATGTAAATGTAGTAGAGCGCACAGTATATTCAATTTAGCGGAAGTAAGTTGAGTTTAAACAGAGGAAAACGAGATTGTAGGTGTGCTTCTTGAAATCGCGAACGTGAAGTTGCTAGGTAGAAATTTAAGAACCGCGCGTTTCGCCTTGTGCTATCTCGGCAGTTTTTGCTGAAACTTTCAACTGCTTAATTGTAAGCTCGCTGAATTTCAGCTGTATTTTAGAACGCGGTTAGGTTAGCTTAATCTCAGAGCCTCGGAGATAGTATCTCGCTATTTATTCATCCTCATTATTGTTCATTTTACGTTCGTTTCAGTTAACCGCTGGGTCGGCGTAGTTTGTGAGCGTCAAGTGGACGCAGCTGTTATTTTTAAAGTTGAATAAAAAGGGCTTTAAACCCTTCTTACGTGTCTGTGTAAATTCACACTTCGTAGCAGTCACTACCACAATTGCTGACAAGTTGGGGCCTCACGATACCACACTATAATTAATAAGAAAATTACCTAGGTTTGCGTATAAAATAAATATTTGCACTTGTGAAACAAGTGAATAATGTACTGATAGTCAACAGGAATTAAAATACAGTGGTTAAAATATAACTACTTGACAGAAGGTATGCAAAGTTGCAAGGGCTAGAGAAATTGAAAGATTATAAAAAACTCATAAAGTTATATGCGCTACAGTGTGAAAAGAAAATTCTGGAATAAACATGTTAAGAAAATTAGATGGAGAAATAATCCTTAATTTATTGATATCCATATAAACTCTATGCTTTTGGAAAAAGTTACATATAATTTGCACCGAGGAATCAATCACCGAAAACGAGTTAATCTCTTTCCTTATTTTTTCTTATTAGAGGGATTTGTAAGAAGGTATGCCAAGGTGAAAATTTTTGCAATATTTTTAAAGAATAAAAAAAGTATTTTTACTTCATGAACTGAAGGTTTTACGATACATTTTTACACAGTAAATCAGTACAAAAAAAGAAAGAGCTCGGAGATCTCTGGGATTAGAAACTCGGGTCGAACTACTAATGTTTAATGACTCTTCCGATTGACCATAAGACCTTTTGAACTTAGGCTGAACAATATATTAAGGAAAATAGAAGATACAGCATAGATAAGAACAAAAGCGGGCTGAATTAGAGATTTACATGTTTGGTGAATGAGTTAAACTTATCGTATGCCATTAGAAATATTAGGAATGTAGCTAAAAGCATTAGCACAGGCAAACCAAATCACTGTAATCTAAATGTATAAATTATCAGTATCTGCTATAATTTTCAATACTGCTGAAAAATTATAATGAATTATATTATAAATCACAGAACTCGTGTATTGTAATTACAAGAGTAAGAACTATTATTGCGTCAATTAGCGACCATTTTGTTAATAAATATTTCAAATAATTAATTTTACAAACAATTCAGCCTGAAACTGCGTTGGAAAATAAGCTACATGCTGAAGATTAAGTTTTGCCAAGGTTAGAAACATTCTGTTAACTAGAGTTGTGATGAAATAATTTGTAAAAACTATCATTTAAATATAAATTGGGATAAATACAATACAAAGTATATAAAATACATACATGAAAACTTGAGTACAATGCAACAATCTGTGAAAAATGAATGGATTAAAAGGGAACTGAAAATCCCATGATATGAATATAAGGGAGTTTGATTTTTTTTTGTTAATTATGAAAATTCTGCAGACGCTCGTAATTATGATTTATTAATTAAATGTGCATTAGAAATTAAATGATCCAAGACATCAGGTAGAGTAACTGGAAAACAGAATAAACATTTAAAGTTTCTAGTATTAAAATACAGAATTTGTAAGAAAGTTAATAGCCTTAAATAACTTCAATGACTAAAAATGGAAGCTAATACGGCATATATTGCAATAATATTAGTGTGAAATTAGAACACTTAAGAATCCAGTTTTTTAGATTTACAAAGAGAATTTTTAAATTAATTGAACTGTTTTACTAAATGGTAAATTTGAAAGTTAAAAATCTGCTATCTAAGAAGATTGTTAATACTTATCTAGACAAGAACTAAAGGTGCTACAAATCCGATATTTGATAGGTTGATTATGTATCAGTTTTGTTTATGTCATTAATCTATCAATTTTATATTCAAACTGATTATATATATACCAGCGACTAAAATCTACAACTTGGAAAGTTTTTAATTCTTACAGAGAATAAAAAGATCTGGCTCATCATTCTTTTAAGCATATAAACTTTAAAATGATAAAAAGAATTAATTTTACTTTAGCACACGCCAGACTTTAAATTAATATTTGTTTGTAGCACAGTTTTTACAATATTGATAAACGAAAATAGAGCTTGCAGTCGCAGTCTCAATAAAATATCCCATTAATGGCGATAAATGGCTTTTGTAAACCCATCTTCTTGGCAAGAAAGTGTGTGTGTGAGTGATTATGCAAAGCCTCGAGGGCTACTGCTTAGAGGAGGGATGCCTTCATGGAGGACTTCTAAGGGAACTGGTCGTTACACTACACATGGGAAACACGAAAACGCCATGCAGCCAGCCCGTTCGCGGATTCGAACTCGGCCGAATCCAGTTTAGCGACTTACCGCTCGCGTGGGGCCTGGCAAAGAAAAGGGACAGAAAGTCGCGATTCTGGATAGATAAGAGGGGAGTTTGTAATTTGAAGAAAAAGGCTAGAGGGCGCTGTTGCTCGCTTAGTTGTAAGAGAATAAAGTTTGTTCATGTTGAAGGCGGCGGCCTAAGAATACGCTCTGTATATAGTAATTAAAATATTGTTAAAAATGTAAAAGTGTTAAAATTAGTGAACTCACTGAACCACCATCATCTGATTTGGAGATGCACAAAATATTATTAGATGGTGCATCGGCGTAAGGAATTAAGGCTTTGTGAAGATTTTAGGTGTTCGATCCAAGTGTTTCGATTTAGGATATTTCATATTCAAGGGACAATGGAATTCCAAATAAAGGTAGGGAAATCTTAAATTAATTATTTAGTGATTATTTGTAGTACATTAGTAAGTATTTATTATTGCTGTCGTGGGTGTATTTAAATTAAATAAAATAAAATAAAATGGAAGAGAAGAGAGTTAGATAGATTGAAACGTAAACGTTCCACATTGAGATCGTCTGTTACTAGGTTAATTAAAGTGATTGAAGATAAATTAAAAATTGAAGGGGAGGAAAATTCGATTAAAGAATTACGAGAATTGTTTGAATTATTAACC